TATATAAGAGAATCCGTGTCGTTGTATATAGGCAGGTACTAAGGGAATGACCATACTCATCTTTATCTATAGTGATATTTACTGCATATGTCCAGTACACGTATTGTAAATAAACATAAACCTTTCACTGCAACTGTGGATATCTCTAGAGACCGTTCTGGTGTTTCTAGCGCAACGAAAACGTTATAAGAGAGAACGCATTAAACTGTCATATATCAAAGCCACGTAAATTTGCATGAGCAGAATGTAATGGCTGATAATACACAGCGCATTTCACAATTAAACGGGTCCCGTATAACCATAAAGGTGGAAACGCATCATGGTGACCGATATATATCTAATTTAAGCAAATTAGCATCAGGCCGGTAGCGCCAACAGCGCTAGAGCGTGGCCTGGACCCCAACATGAACCGATTTCAGCATGAGCGAGTTTAAATTTTGGACTAGGATATGAATTATTCAAGTCTGGCCACTATCACTTCTACCAACTAACGCGCTTCTGTCCTTCATGGGTAGAGTAGATACTACAGAGGGTATGAGATTTGGAGACAGCTATTCAGAGGTGGACTAATTTGACTCCTTTTAGCGTTAAAGCTCGGACATAGAAAATGCTACAATCACTGAAGGCACAACCTGTGTTACCGATTGTTACTAGATGTTCGGCAAGAATAACTTTCAACACCCACATTGATTGCCTGGAAAGTGATGCTAAATACTGCTTCATCCTTCAGTTCTTGTTTAAAAATAAATATGTGCTACCCATCTCCAAAGCTGAAGTCTACAATTGTCTTGTACGATTTTTGAGTTAGGCATGCAGTTCGGTTAATTTTAGAGTTTTAAATTTGACGGGGATTCTTTTCTAGAGTTTTTCATTTTTGCTCTTCAATTATTGTCGATCCAAACCTAAGGCAAGTCGAAACTAACAAATAGAAAATTTCAATAGCCAAGTAACAGAAAGTCTTATTAAATGTGATTCTATCTTCTGTCCATCATCCTTATTGGATTGTGGAGATACAGAAGCATAAAGCCCACAGCCAACAAAATTCTCTTGACAAGAAATAAAAACGTGAACATTTTGATAACAAGGCGATATGGAAATCCTGTTTATAATTCTAATAAACGTCACCTCAATCTCGCATCCGCATACCAACTTTACGCGACCCTGTTTCTCCGGCAAACTTTTAAATAATCCCTAAACAATTTTCCTGGATGTATAAAGCTCGCGTGGAGGTCCTTTGCGTATACGTTTCCCGAAAAGTTTAGTAATCTTGTTTTAAATTTTTTTTTGGGATGACGGTTTGGCAATCCCTTTGTTCCATTACATTATCGCTCAAAGTAAGAGATATATATCTCTCGTCACGCGTCGGAAAAAGTTCTATCCCTATATAGTCAGACATTTCTGAGCTTGGCTGTAATTCCACAATTGCTGGAGTTTCTTTCACCTTAGAACGAAAAGTATGAAGACATTTTTAACCATATTCCGCTAGTTTTTTATTTTTAATAAGAAATTGAGCATTTTATAGATACTATGTTGATAAAATAAATTATTACAACGTTTTCCTTATTTAGAATTGAACGATCAAATGAACTTACCTGTGAAATTCGATCGTAATTATATGAAGCGTCCAATCCGAAGATATCACTTAACCAGGTAGTACGCCGTACGTTGCTATATCGCGCACAAAGTTTAAAGAATGTTTTTTCCCCTTCCGCCATCCGTCCCCCGCCATCCATTCAGCATTCCAGTCATTCTGTTCAAAGTATTTTGGTTAATTACAATCGTTTGGGTAAGTATATTATTATAATAATAATATATTGAATAGCTTTGGGTTAGGGTGGGAGTGATATCTTCGGATTGGACGCTTCATATAATTACGATCGAATTTCACAGGTAAGTTCATTTGATCGTTCAATTATATTTCAGCGTCCAATCCTCTATATCACTTAACCAGGTAGATGTTTAAAGTAGTGACGATTGTAATTGAGTAATAAGTTATATACAAAAAATTTGTTAATTTTTTATTAACATTAATTTAACACAAAACTAAAAAGGATCTTCTCCCTATTGTTTAACAACTCAAGAAAATAACGTTATGTCTTAAAAGAAATAACGCCTAATAATATACCTGATGTCAATAAATCAGGTTAAAAATAAAAGTATAAAGGCCATTAAAAACGAAAAGAAGATAAACTTATGATTCTAATGAAAGGATTTGTTCAGCGAAAGTAGTATTGTTAACTATTTTCCTCTGATAAAATCTTGTAAATGTCGTTTCTCTGATCCAGCCGGCCGCCTGCATTATAGACTCCATGGGGATTCCACTTTTTAGTGCCGCCGAAGTTGACGCATGGCGGGCGGAATGAGGTTTAAAAATGTCTGTATCAATACCAGCTAACTTTAGTGTATTTTTAACCCATCTGCTTACTGTTTGTTTTGTCGCTGGTTTATGCGGACTCTTATGAGTAATAAATAGCCTATCATCAGATGCAGATCTTTTTTCCCGTGTGATTTCCAAATAGTTTTTTATGGCTGTAGCTGGGCAAATTGATGGGTTTTCTAGGAAAAACGGTATTTGAAGACATGGCTGTAACTTATTGATGTTAGACGTCTTTATTTGATCGGTTATTAAGATTTGTATATCCGAGGAACTTTCTCGGAAATTCGAGGTTCTAATTAGAGAAATGGTTTGAATTCGCTGTCCCGTAACAAGTGTTAGTAAAGTTGCAACTTTATAAGATAGATGCTGAAGGCTGATTTTGGAATTGTCCCATTTTTCTAAGAAGTTTATCACTTGTTGTGGGTCCCATGTACAATTGTATTTGGGTCTTGAAGGTCTTAATTTTGCTATGCCTTTCATATATCTGGATATACGATAGTCTTTTTGTATATTTTCTCCTAATATAAGTGAAAGAGCGGACCTATGCGAATTAAATGTACCAAACTGATAATTTTTCGCATCAAATAAACTTTGAAGAAATGAGATAACATGATTTACTTCAGCTTTATACATATCCACATCTGCTGTCTGGCAGTACTGCCACCAGAGCTTATATGTTCCCTCATACTGCTTCATTGTTGACGACGAAATTGAAGCTATGGCTGTATCGATGGAGCATTGTGGGTATCCCTTTATGAGGAGAGCTTGCCTGATAATCTGGCCGCCACCAGGGAAAGTTTCTTTGCTAGAGGATGGTGCACTCTAAAAGGTGAAGAGAGTAAATTAATGTCAGGCGAAAAAATTATTTCGTCGATTTTCATTGATGTGAATTTCGGAAACCAGGGTTGTGAAGGCCACAATGGCACCACCAAGATTCCCTCAGCCTTATCAGTGATTATTTTTTGAATGGTTCGAGTTATCATTGAAAAGGGAGGGAAAGCGTAAAAATTCAAGTCTTTCCAGCAAATAGTAAATGCATCTATTGCTAAGGCGTCTGGATCTTGTTTCCACGAAATGTATGTTTCACATTTTGTGTTGGCTCTTGATGCGAATAAATCAATATCTGGCTTTCCAAATTTTTGTAGAATTTCACTAAAAGCAGTTTTGGAAAGACACCATTCAGTTTCGGGAGCAGTTAATCGAGATTGTTTGTCGGCTATTTCATTATTTTTAGAAGGAATGTAAGAAGCAAAAATCCAGATATTTCTTTCTTCGCACCATTGCCAGATTGTTTTAGTAATTTTTTCTAGATTTGTATGTTGAACGCTACCCATTCTGTTTATGCAGGAGGCGGCAGTCGTATTATCGGTCCTAATCAACAAATTACAATTTTTATGTTGTTTAGCTAAGCATTTTAGAGCATAGTATACTGCTTTTAATTCTAAGATGTTGATATGAAATTTCTTGTCATCTTCAGACCACCAGCCGTTGGCTGTTTTTGTCTCTGCACAAGCCCCCCACCCGGTAAGACTAGCGTCACTAAATATTTCTAAACAGAAAGTATCTTGTTTTATTTCATTGTATGCACTTAAAATATTTTTCTCCCACCATAATAGATCTATTTTTGACATAGGAGATAGTTGCATCCATGCATCATAAGATCCATTATTTTTATTTAAAGCCAAACATTTATCTCTTTCCAATGCTTTAGTGTAAACCCAGCCATATTTTATTGCTGGGCAGGCAGAGCTTAGAGAGCCGATAAATTTAGCTACGTCCCTAATTTTTATATTAGTTCTTCTTTTTAAAATGAGCAAAGTTTGTAAAATTTTTTGTTTTTTGTCTTGCGTAATCTCGATTGTCATTTTTATGGAATCAAAAACGAAACCTAAAAATGTTAAAGTTTTTGATGGGAGAATACAACTTTTGTCATAATTAACAATAAATCCTATAGATTGAAGGAGCGAGAGAGTAAAAAACACACTTTTTTCGCATTCTTCTTTTGTTTTTCCCAAAATAAAAATATCGTCCAAATAACTAACACAAACAATGCCATTTTTTCTCATATGTTCCACTACGGGCCTCATTATTTTGGTAAAACAGTGGGGTGCAGTTGACAAACCAAATGGTAAACATGTAAATTCGTATAAGGTGTTATTGTGATAAAATCTTAAGTACTTTCTGTAGGTTTTTTCTATGGGTACTGCGAAGTACGCGTCTTTTAAATCTATTGTAGCCAAAAACATGTTTTTCTGGATGAGCCTTAAGGCAGTCCTGTAATCTTCCATTTTGAAGTGGGGAGCACTTATAAAGGAATTTAATTGTTTTAGGTTTAAGATTAGACGCTTTTTACCATTTGGTTTGTCTCTAAGAAATATTTTTGAAATGAATTGGTCATCGCTTGGCTGGCAAACTTTTATTGCATTTATAGATAAAAGTTCATCCAGTGCAGCGGTTATTAGTTTGTTCTCTTCAGGGGAAAAGATTTGACAACAAACTTGAACTTGAAAGGGCTTACTATCAAACGGAATTCTATAGCCACATATATAGGATAGAATCTGTGCGTTTGTAGTCAGCTCCTTCCATTTTGACAAAAACAATTTTAGTCGTCCTGCATATTGACTTACCAATAATGCCTCCTCCTCTGGTACTGCTCTTTTTTGGGGTGATGGCCCCTTTGTGGTTTCACCTCCCCTCGGCGAACCGGCCTTTTTCTGTTTAAAGGAATTGGGTTAACTTTGAAGTTTGGTCTAACATTAGCTTCAGTATGCGGTCGCCTGTACGAAGAGTTAGTACTAGTAGAAGGCTGAGTTGTCATTGGTTCGGGTTTCAGGTCTTTTTTGGCTCTTTCAATTGATTTAGCCTCTTTAATTCTTTCCCCTATATCACTTCCAAAAAGAAATTGTACCGGAGTAGTGTTTGATACTAGATCTTTTACTGTCTTGTTTAAACTCGGCATTATAAGGTTTTTTCTCATGGTTGAAATATTAAATGACAAATCCGAAAAGATTCGGCCTGAATCTCCCAAAGAAATTAGTAATTGTTCCTTAATTTCTTTAGGAATATTTTCCTTATCTTCTAGGATAATATTCATGGATTTCCCAAGAGCGCTTATACCGACATTCAGTTGTTTTTGTATGCCTAAATGGGCTTCATCCCTTTTTATGTGGGGGTTTGAAAGCACTCCTACTACTTCCGGATTTACTAATGGAGCATTTATCTCCGGGCAATTGCTTGGTAAGGGATAACGCTCCAAAATTTTTTGCTTTTGATCTTTATCAAGGCCATGAGACAATATATGACCCCATCGTGTACATAGGGCTTTATGTAGTTCAAAAATGTTTTTATTTTTTATGTTAGGATCCTCTCCCAAAAACATTGAAAATTCATCTTTTTGCATATCAATTTCCAAAACAGGCGAGGCATTCTTGGACGCAGTCAGTTCGCGCCCGAGCTCTACTGAGGTACCTGCCATCCCGTCGCCGTCGGGCTCAGCAGCGGCATCGATGATTATTGACTCCGTTTCGCGCAGAGAACGGTCGTCAAAATCTGAAAATGTCGGACCGCGCGGGTGCCGATCAACACTGCCTTGTCGTGAGCCTGAGCGGGACCTCACGTCTCGATGATGGTAGTCTCGAGCCGGGCTCCGGTCACGTGATCTGGCGGGCCTATGCCGCGATCGGGATCGTCGCCTTGAGAGGGACCGTGAACGAGACGTTTTCCGTTCGCCCGGCGCCGGCGAGTGATGGCGGTGTTTATGTACTTTTTTTTTCAATTTCTTGATCATTTTAAATAGCTGTTTTTTAGAGATATGCTCCGATTCGGAGCTACTGCTCTCGTTAGTACTTTCCATAGCTAAAATGTCCTAAAATATTATATGTAAATTAAGATTAGAGGGTAAAGCTTACCGTTTTTAATAATAGATCACTTGCACTGTCGTATCTGGAGCAAGAGCAACATGCACGCGAGACGCACAAACGACGAATGACTGGAATGCTGAATGGATGGCGGGGGACGGATGGCGGAAGGGGAAAAAACATTCTTTAAACTTTGTGCGCGATATAGCAACGTACGGCGTACTACCTGGTTAAGTGATATAGAGGATTGGACGCTGAAATATAATAATAATTTTATAGCAGTTCTGGAAAATATCGAATTTTATCTTTATAACAAAACACTGCTCCTAGTCTACAAATTTTGTGGTATCTCGTTAAAGGTGATTTTTTTATAGTTACTGACGACCGTAAATACGAGAGCTGAAGGTGACTTGGTGCTATTTCCGGTGCTCTTGTGTAGGAATTCAGCGATCCACTACGCGATTTTGTGAATCTATTTCACAGTCAGTGCTGCGGTTTTATTAGGTGGTGGAGATTTTAATAGAAATCGGCATCCATTAGTGAGATTGTTATCGGAGCCCTTTTTTCACCCTTTTGGAGATTTAACCGTAGACATAATTACACTCAACCATCGAGCTGGAAAGTGACATTTTCTCCAAACCACGTGTTGATTTCCTGAACATGGTTTCTAATTCTATAGAGGTGGACCGTCTGCAGTGGTAATCCGAGGCTAATTTAAGTAGGACTCACGCCTCTGAGGAGCAGTTCACCATTTCTGTGCACCCTTATTGTTTGAGGAAATGATGATTTTTTATTTTGCTAGGCCTGTCTTAATCTCGTACAAATTAAAAACAACCACTTCGTTAAAAAATTCAGCATAAATGCATTAGTAATTTTATTCGTGCAAGCTTAGGCGCTCTTATGTAACATTAGGGTTATACTTTAACCATTTAATTATCCATCGTTTCGGTCAATATTGAATTCGTCAAAAGCTATTAGTGCATCAACTTATTAAAGAGTAAAAAGAGAGAAATGTTACTGAGCCTTCAAATATCATACAGCATGTTAAGACCCTGTATTGTACAGTCGGCCATTGTAGGTAGTATATAAGCCCATACTAGCTTCACGATTCTAACCTAATGATGGTAGTTATTGAAAAAAAAATCAGCAAAAACGCTTTTAATTCGAGCGGTATCATAAGTATACGCACCTTCATAAACAATTTTTTTCTAGCGAATTCAATATACCTGATACGTTGATAAACATCTAGCTGGTGATGCAGGACTATGCAGGAACCGATCTATCTGGATAATTCAGTATCAATGTTTCTAACCAAAACAATGTCTAGGTATCAATTAACAATCTTGCCAAGGGCATTCACGTGTTCCTTTGAGGTTCGATTTCGATTTAATCCAACACAATGCCGGGAATAAGGCCAGTCATACACGCTAAGGTATACCTTGAGAGTTCGTCTGTGCTGTTATACCTGTAAGGTGCTGAGTACTTAGTTGAGGCCATAGTGTATGTAAGGAGAGCCTGTCGAGGCTCGCAGCTGACACTACGATACAGGGGATCAAAATCACCTGCCCCACATACGCCCGGTTTCAGTGAACTTTGTTTAACTATCCACATCCATATACAGAATTGTCCATTTGTCTGGGAATGGTCAAACATTTTAGGAGATAGTTCAGCAAGATTTTTATAGGAGGTTAACAGATTCCAGCTCAACCACTGCGTTGCTTCCAAACTTATCGTTATAATAAACTACCGAGCTTTGAATGGTATATTTCTGATTGACGTATACCAATTCCCTAGTACTCCTTAGTACAATCTCCAAATACTAGAACTCCAACTTGTTTATGGAGATAAAGCAACGTCTGGTAACTGTCTAATGTCTCGGAAAGTACTAGATCGATATTCACCAAATTTTGAGCAGAGGTATATTCAGTTGTTCCAGATCAGACAGAAAGAACCTCGTTGCCAGATCTATCGTTTATTTAAACAGTACGCAACTTTTCAGAATTTGGAAGCAACAATGTCGTTTTTATTATCAAATATTAAATATCAGGGCAGTATCCAATTTGCATTTGAGGTTATGGCAGCATAACCAAAAGCTTGGAAATATTCGGAATATCCTAGAAATAACTAGATCGAAATCAGCCTAAATGGAGAGACAAGCAGTTCTTCCAGATCAGACGGTAATAATCACATTGTTGATTGGTATATCATAAATGTGGAAGCAATGCTACCTTTGTCTATGTTGTCATTTCTTCATAAGCTCATTCGATAGACGCTTGGTGCTTATAGGCTATGCTGAGGTATACTAGAAGATTAATATAAGTCAATGACACTTTAAAAGGTAAAGTTGCTCCCAAAATGATAAAACAAATAGCACCTTCAGATATAGGTACTCAAAATATCAAAAATTCTTATTTTTTTCAGTAAGCGCGGTTGCATAGTGGTAGACGTTACGCCTCTACTAATCTGTCGCCGCGGGTTCCGTCCCAAGATATTTTTTCTCTTGGCTATGGATGTTATTATCGTCCGTAGGTGGTAGACGGTCTCGGACTGTCAAACGTGGAGGTACCACCCGGCGGATTTCTTATAAAGCGGGGACTGAATGTGTAGCTGTCGCTATATGGGATTTTGTGTGCTATCTCCTCTTTTTTCTGTATCGCCGTATATCCCCACGCTCCCCATTGCCTTTGCGGTTGTTCAAGTTTCACAGATGTGGAAACCTGCGCCTTGTGTCGCACAGGCATGAGAGGTTCAACGGTAAACCTACCAGGTATCTCTGCCGTGTATTGCTGGCTTAACAGGGAGAGTGAGAGAGCGAGAGAAAGGGGGAAGAGAGAGAAAGGAACAACGAAGGAAGGATGTGGAGTGGATGATGTCGGGATGAGCTAATTATGGATTCGATCGTTTTGTCGACGGTAAATTGCCGAACGAGATGTTTTTGTCAAGAATAGTTGACTGGAAGCAGACATAGTTCCGAATTGCGGTTAAAACATTATGGCGAGGGGGTGTATGTGGAGGGGGAATAATCGCGGGCTTAATGTGTAACTTTAGGGACTGAAGGCATTACGTAGCTACGGATTATGTTCGTTCGATAATCGGTTATTAGGCAAGGACGAGATGTTTTGTGGCTATTTTAGGTAGCAACACAATACGGCCATATACAGGGTGTTCCTTAATGATATGCGAGTATTCAAGGGTGTGAATCTACATTAAAAATTAATGTTAGTTTGCTTTATAAACTATGGTCCAAAAATGTTTCCTTACAAAAACTTGGGGTGTTGAAGTTTTAGGAAAAAATGGAAATTAAAATTTTCAGAACCGTTTCAGATATTCCGCTGATGTTTAGTACGTTTTATTGGCCCAGTCTTCTTGCCGGGACGACTTGACGGACAGACCTACGTCAATTTTCTTCAACAACAGTTGCCTTTGCTGCTTGATGATGTTCCGTTAGTAATAAGAAACAATATGTGGTTCATACATGATGGTGCAACAGCGCATTTCAGTGTAGCGGTTCCTAATTATTTACAAACTGTTTATCCAAATCGTTGGATTGGTCGCGGTGGTCCCCAAGAATGGCCACCAAGGTTCCCAAATCTCAACAGTTTAGATTTCTTTTTGTGGGGCTATCTTAAGACACTAGTGTACACAAGTCTCATTAACACTGTAGAGGAATTAAGAGAAAGAATAATTGCAGCTTGTGATAGAATAGAAAACACTCCAGGGATATTTGCGCAATTCCATGAGAATGAGGGCGGAGGCGGCCATTTTCAACAATTTTTGTAATCATTTTGTTGGTTTTAACGTTATGTTTATGTTGTTAGTTGTTGTTGTTCATTACCCCTAATATGTTTAATTTTTCCAATTAAATTAAAAATTATTTTGCAAGTTAGACAATAGAACGGTTTTAATTTTTTTACGCATAAATTGCCTCTGGAAGTGAAACAATTCAAGAGAGATCATTTGTTTCAAATTGAACAGGGAATTCAAAAATAATTTTTATTTGGTAAAAAACCATTGGCGTACCATTTTTCTCTTAAAAAATATCAAAGTCAATACCCGTACGCACGCCACTGTTAAAGCTATAAGTTATGTTTGCATTGAAAAATATGCAACTTTATCAGTTTTGACTACATACTAGATATCAGTGAAATATCTGAAGCGGTTCTGAAAATAATAATTAATTTCCATTTTTTTCCTAAAACTTCTTAGGAAACATTTTTGGACCATAGGTTATAAAGCAAACTAACATTAATTTTCCATGTAGATCCACACCCTTAAATATTTGCATATCATTAAGGAACACCCTGTAGAACGAGCTTTCGGATAGGCCGAGCCAGGAAAATTTTAGTTTTGTCAACAGATATTAGACGAAATTAAGTCACAGTCAATTTAGATCGTAGGCTAGGTTTTGCTTTCCGTTCTCTCTTGAAAGGCTTATACCACACCGTTGATTCCATACAAGAGTGAAACAGCTTATGCCACATGGACTTGAGGGAATTTCAATATTGCCGGAAAACTTTGCCCCTTCGGAATTCTCTGTACCACCGGAATATAGTCGTACGATGAGGACTATCATTCTTTAAAGCAATCGTAATTTCTTCTAAGCACTGGTCTATGCTTAAACCACGCGTAGAGTTATACACGGTAACATGCAGCCTCCTGCGTCCATTTGTTAAGTCATATTGCAAGACTTTTGTTGTACCCATAGGGTAATTCTAGGACAGATGGCCCATCAGGTGAGTTGGCCCACCGTCAATATCTCCACAAATGTATGAAAGACCGATACTTTGGCAACACCGGCAGCCATTAAGTATTGCGTCATATGCTGTGTCAGCCGCAGTTAGTAATTGAGCGTTTTATTACAGTAGAATATTAATAGAAGTGGTGGTTATATGTACGATTTTTTTTTGACAAAGTATTAAAATTGCGTGAGAGGTACGTATTGTTATTTTTTGCAAACAATTACAAATTCATCGGGTAGTATAGGGCCTGGCGGCATTCCTAACCTAAAATTAAATTGTTATTCGCATGTATAACTTAACGCCGAAGTGAGCCATCTATCCTTGTAACATTAGGTGAGTTGGCTCACTGCTAAGAGAGGAGAGATGGCTCAATTACTTAACATGGTTTTAATAGTTATGAACTCTTTTGCAGTTAAAATGCCTACCGAATATAAACGCAAAGGTAGTGTTTGTCGAGGGGAATGGTCAGAACAAGATTTACAACAAGCTATAGAGGCTGTACAAGAAGGTAGAGTAGGTGTTCGAGAAGCCGTTCGTTCCTTTGGTGTGCCATACACAACACTTCGACGACGCTTGAGAAGTGGCAATCATAGAAAGCTTCCGTTGGGACCATTATCTACTTTAGGACAAGAAATCGAAGTTAAATTGGTCAATCATATTAAAAAACTTCAAAAGTTTGGATTTTCGCCATCACGAACAACTGTACGCTCTATGGCATTTGAATTAGCCCAGAAATTAAATCTCCCACATAAATTCAATATTGAAAGACGTATGGCAGGATATCCATGGCTCGAGTCATTTTTAAGGCGCAATAAGGATCTAGCAGTGAGAAAATCCGAAGGTATGTCAGCTGCTCGTTGTTTAAATATGAATAGAGAAGTTGTGGCATCTTATTTTAACCTATTGGAAAACACTCTGATAGAATATAATTTAATTAACAAACCAGCAAGAATCTACAATGTAGAGGAGACAGGTCTACAAATGAACAACAAACCAGGCTTTGTTATTGCTCAGAGAGGTTCAAAAAACTCGGCAGTGACATCAGCAGAAAAAGGCGAAACAATCTCCGTAATAACATCTTGCAATACGGAGGGGTCATTTATACCACCAACGTGCATCTTTAAGGGTAAGAATCAGAAACCAGAGTTTGCCGATGGTATGCCACCAGGCTCCTAGTATTCATGTCTGAGAAATCAGCTTATGTCAATAATGTTTTATTTTTGAGGTGGCTTAAAGAACAGTTTGTCCCAAGGAAACCTCCGGGATATGTTATGTTAATCCTCGATGGACACTCATCGCATTGCAGCAGCGTAGAGACACTAGAATATGCTTCTGAAAATGAAATAATTTTTGTGTGTCTACCTAGTCACACAACTCAATTTCTTCAGCCTCTAGACAGAGGAGTTTTTAAGTCACTGAAGGCGTTTTATTATGAAGAATGTAATGCTTTCATTAGAAGAAATCCCAATCGACGCATTAACAGATTGATTTTTGGACAATTACTCGCTGCAGCTTGGGAGAAATCAGCAACTGTTAAAACTGCGGTTTCATCTTTCAGAGCTACAGGAATTGTGCCTTTCAATCCGTCTGCGATTCCAGATTACGCTTATCTTACTGACAAACCTCAGGGAGCTTCACCTAATGAACCTGAATCTCAAGTTTTACCGAATGGTGAAATATCTGTTGACAATAGAAATGAATCTGCTCAGGATTCATCTATTATTGAAATATTGGAATCGGTAGTGAATGATTCAGCTGGACCATCTGATATGAAGACACCTGAGAAAGAAATAGATACCCCTGAAAAAATACTGGACAAAATTAACCCGATTCCTATCACTGAAGCAGTCTCTTCTGCGAGGAAGAGAGGTGGACAGTTGGCTTCTGTCTCGCCTAGCAGCGATAATATTAGAAATAAGAAAAAGAAACTAGAAAAAAAATTACAAGCTGAGGCGAAGAAACGGAAAAAGAAAGAAAACAAGAAATGCATTAAACCAGGCCCTAGCCGCGTTCAATGTAAGTCTAAAAAACGGAAACAATCTACATCTTCTTCTTCTGAAGAAGAAATAATATATGATGATTCCTCGGAATACGAAGATGAGACAAGTAAATGCGGTGGATGCGGAGATTTTTATTCCACCACCACAAAAATGGATGACTGGATTCAGTGTGTGACGTGTTCCAGATGGGTACATGAAGGGTGCACCAGATTTGACAATTTTTGTGATGCATGTGGAAAGTCGCAGCAATAATGAACTACTATATTTACTAGTTTTTGAATCGAGCCATCTCACCGAATACTATGGGCCAACTCACCCATATATTAAGGGAGAGATGGCTCAGTCTGATACTTTATTTTTTTCGTTTCTTTGAGAATAAAATTTAAGTTTGATTATTTTTTCTGTTGTAATAATATTCTTCATATAAGCCTGGTTTAACCTAAGTTATTAAATGATTTTTCTGGGGTATAATAAAGATGTTATGTTGATTTGTAAAAAGGTGGGCCATCTGTCCTAGAACTACCCTATACTGACACAAGAAAATCTAATAAATCTGACTGTAGATTCCACATCTCCACAGACTTATAAAAAGCACTGGCAGCAAGTAAAACCCCGACACTTTTAGATTCGCAGCAGAGACGTAGCAGGTTGGGAATTTGAATGCGACCACCAAAGTATTCAGATAGAGCAGCCGATCCTGCAGCATTAATAATTCTTTTTAAACCAAGTTGAGAGGAAACCTGCTACCCAAAGGATTTCTTTCGCAACACATGGACGTTTCTAGAGCCGCTATCAGTTTCAGTTTTGACAGATGCTTATCAAGCAAGAAACATAAACTCTTCTCGCCCGCAGTGATAGAGCTTTGGCACCCGTTTGCTGAATTGTGTCACAGTGGGTAGCGCTATGTTTATCAAAAGATACTGGCTTCTTTCTTTGCCTATCTAATACAATGTATTACAGCAGATGTGGGGTGCCCACTGTTTGTCTTGATCACCTAGTTTACAACCGAAATAAAGCTGATATGTCTTTGTTATTAGTGGAGTAATAGACCGTCTCTGAGATGCAAAAGTCACATCACCACACACGTAACAAAACTGATATGGATTGTTTACACACTTTCGAGACATCTTGCATGAACGCTGTCAGCCAACTGAGGAAAAAATGGCTAATATAAAACAATATAATGTACACGTATGTATAACGTAACACAATCATGAAGATTAGATCATCTTTTCTTGCCGAATATAAAAATGTAGCACGTGCATTCTTGTGAATTACAGTAAATTAACACTGTCACAGCAGGAACACATATAATTACCGTATCTCTAAAACTTGAACTAATATTGAAAAAATAAGTTTCATTCCGGTTTTAGCACATTAAAAATAGTAATATTTTGTTGATTTTATTTAGGATATTTTTTGGCTCTTGATCAGTGTTATTAACGGAGAGTAATCTCTTATCATATCACTATATCGTTATTTGAATAATACTGATGTTGATGTAGCTACAAGCTTTTGTATTGAAAAAGTCCACATATTTATTTCCCTTCGTCTCAGACTTCCAAACTGTTACTATGTTGAGGTCTAGTATGGTATACCAAACAAATGACTATCTAATAACTGCAAGGCCTACTTAGGAGCTTCTCTTTATCTGGAATAATAAGGTTTGGCAATGTAAATGTGTGACGTATTATACATTTTTGAAATCAGAATTAAAAACCCTATCCATCTGCGCAAAAATCCAACATGGCATCCATGAGAAAAAATAAACTTGATTGAATTTGAATGTGCAATTCATTTTAAGAATCTAAATGATTTTGGTGTTCTGTATGAAAGCAGTTTGAATGTCTAGTTAGTTAGTTGTTGGCGGCATTTTGTTAGTTGCGTAAGTACGCAGTTTTGCCTCCATTCAAGCGACTTGGTATCTCTTATTGTTTCCGAGATCCCATCAAAAACACTTGGCATTGATTTGGCAATACAATGGAGTCCTATCCATTTTTATATTTCGTCTTTATTCAGTCTCATTAGTGGTGTAGAAACGTCCTGAATATTGGTAATGGGTCACATACCTATAGGATCTTTATTATTTAATATTTCGATGTAGTCTCTGCCTTAAAGTTATCGTTAGTATCACCTTGTCCTTGCAGACTAGTTATCCATAGGGATGACTGTACTAAAAAGAGGAAAGCACTTATTAGACTGGGTTGTTAATGGTGACGGAATTTCCTTCGTAATTACTACTTTTTTCGCTGCTAAACGACGCGACGCGGCGATGCTGTGCGGATGGCGATGGCGGGGAAACTTTCCACGCCTCGGGGACGATTTAGCAGAAAACTGAAATTGAATAAAAAAAGGAAAGGTCCAGGGGACCCGGTTTCTGAATCACTAAAGTATTACGGAAAGCGTCGCAGAAAATCGTCGAGTTCCGAACTCCTCGGCCGTTTCTTTATTATACATCCCTCGACAAAAGTACAGACGTCAATGCTAAGATGCCACGGCCGAGCAAATTTTTTTTTCCTGGAGAGTAGAGGGCATCCGTCTATAAACTGACCCCCCTCTAACTTTTTTGCATCATTTTATAGAAGAAAAAGTTGTATATAAAATTAATAAGGTCTAATATGAAGTTTTCTTTTTCTCAGAGAAGTGCTACTGAATAAAGTTGTATTTTTTCATTGGAGCACCCTGTATATACGGTGCATTATTTCTTATGCGAAATATACAGGGTGTCCCGAAATTGAAAGATAACACTTATCAACAGCCAAAAAATATCCTAAATAAAATCAACAAAATATTACTATTTTTAATGTGCTAAAACCGGAATGAAACTTATTTTTTCAATATTAGTTCAAGTTTTAGAGATACGGTAATTATATGTGTTTCTGCTGTGACAGTGTTAATATACTGTAATTAACAAGAATGCACGTGCTGCATTTTTATATTCGGCAAGGAAAGATGATGTAATCGGCATGATTGCGTTACGTTATACATACGTGTACATTATATTGTTTTATATTAGCCATTTTTTCCTCAGTTGGCTGACAGCGTTCATGCAAGATGTCTCGAAAGTGTGTAAAGAATCCAGATCAGTTTTGTTACGTGTGTGGTGATGTGACTTTTGCGTCTCAGAGACGGTTTATTACTCTACTAATAACAAAGGCATATCAGCTTTATTTCGGTTGTAAACTAGGTGATCAAGACAAACAGTGGGCACCCCACATCTGCTGTAATACATGTGCTTCAAGTCTGAGGAGCTGGTTAAATGGCAAAAAACGGTCTATGCGCTTTGCTGTCCCAATGGTTTGGAGAGAGCCTACAAATCATATTAATGATTGTTACTTTTGCATGGTACCTTGTGTTGGACAAGCCACAGGTATGTCCAAGAAAAAAAAATCGGCTATTAACTACCCAAACATACCATCTGCGATGAGACCTGTGCCTCACAGTGACGAAAATCCTATTACAAAACCCCCAGAATCCTACACTTGCGAATCAGAAAACGAATCAGATCATGGCGATCGAGTGATTCGTCGGGAAGAAGATATGCCATCAACGTCAAGAGATCCTGATTTTATACCGAGCACGTCATGCCACCAACCGCACAAAATAACACAGTCAGAATTAAATGATCTTGTAAGACATTTAGAACTTCCAAAATGTAAGGCAGAGTTACTAGGATCAAGACTGCAGCAGTGGAACTTGTTAGAAGACGATGTTTCGGTATGTGTTTTTCGTAAACGCCACAAAGACTTAGAACCATTTTTCAATATGGAGAATAACTTGATTTTCTGCAGTAACATTAACGGCTTACTGGCGGCTTTAAATATAAACTATAACCCAGAAGAATGGAGATTGTTTATAGACATTCCAACATTGAGTTTAAAGGCAGTGTTATTGCATATTGGAAATATTTTCCCATCTCTTCCTGTAGGGTATGCAGTTCACATGAAAGAATCATATGACAATATGAAGTACCTATTGACATGCATAAAATACGATGAGCACCAATGGCATATTTGTGGCGATTTGAAAGTTGTTGCACTTTTACTTGGGCTGCAGCTAGGCTACACAAAGTTTTGCTGTTTTTTGTGTGACTGGGACAGTCGGGCAAAGGCACTTCATTACACCAGACAAAACTGGCCTGTTCGTCAATTCCTAGACCCAGGTCAAAAAAATGTA